GTCTTTAAGTGGTTATCTGATCACAGGTAGTCTCTTTTTTCTTATATGCGTCTAGCCCTGGGATCTAGGTTCTAAAATCTCCACTAAAAATTCAAAGCACAAAGAAGTCACTTCTTGAAACTTAAATATCTTCTTATAAATAAAACACTATTTTCCACTATTTTGCATCTCATTTGTATTATGCTGTTGACTTAGATTTTAAAGCCTCAGGTGGCAATGCTGGGTGCTCAATTCACAAAAACAACAGTAGAACTACAAATGCATCAATTTTCATAATCTCTAATTGCTCATAATATAATGATGAACCTCCACATATAAACCATTAATAAGTCCTAATTAATACAAAATTATCCTTTTTTGAGAAAAGTTCTTTACATGTCACTGGCAATTTGCAATTCACAGAGCTTTTGCACATTTGAGCTTTTAATTATCAAACTAAAACTGATATAATCCATAACTGACTGTGTAAATGCCTTGCAAAGTACAGAAGAAGACTGAAAAAATCTAAATATCCACTTGTCACCTGTTAGTTCATTTTGAGATAAGTGCTCAGCTACACTGATAGAATTGCGATTGTAGGCAATACAGAAAATAATTTCCCCCCTCTCTGGTTTATTAGAGTTAAACCATGCTATAAGTCTAAATGAGTTGGTAGAATGAGGAAATTCTGGAAATTCTGGAAGAGATTCATGGAGACTTACCATGGCAGATTACGAACTCCAGTAAGCAGTTTTAAAAAATTAACTTTTTACCCAGAACAATTGTAGATTTACAGAATTATTGTGAAGATAGTACAGAAGGTTGCTCTATCCCCTGCATTGGGTTTTCTTTATTATTAATATCTTACATTAGCATAGTATATTTATTACAACTAATGAACCAGTATGATACATTATTATTCACTAAAGCCTATGCTTTATGTAGATTTCTTTGGTTTTTACCTAATATCTTTCTTCTGTCCCAGGATCCCATCCAAAATATCCCATTACATTTAGTCTTCATGTCTCCTTAGGCTCATCTAGGCTGTGACGGTTTCTCAGACTTTCCTTGGTTTTTTATGAACTTGACAATCTTTGAAGAGTACCGGTCAGGTATTTTGTAGAATGTTTCTCAATTAGAATGTGCCTAATGTTTTCCCCTTGACTAATCTGGGGTCATGGTTTTGGGGGAGGAAGATCACAGAGGTAAAGTATGATTTTCATCATCATATCAAGGGGAACTACTCTCAACACGATTTATCTCTGTTGATGTCGACCCTAGTCACCTGGCTGAGGAAGTGTTTGTCTGGTTTCTCTTGTAAAGTTACTCTTTCTCCCTGCCTTTCCACACTGTACAAGATCTTTGAAAAGAAGTCACTATGCTCAGCCCACACTTAAGGAGTGAGAAGCTATGTTCCACCTCCATGAGGGTGGAGTAATTATATAAAGTATTTGGTATGTCAAATTATAAAAAGCTGAGAGGCTTTCACAACTCAAAGATATCATAAATAAGAAAGAGGAAGAAGATGAGGAAATCCATTTGAGGAAGCTGGGAAGTAAGGAATTCAAGCTAATGATCAGCTAAGACATAGGGGGCGGTCACACCCCTTAACAGGGGTAAGCCTCATGACTTAAGACCCATTCCATTCAACTTTTTGCTGCCCAACTTTCTAGTTCTTCTAGAAAAGTGAAGTATTCGAACATTTGGAGACTATACTGAATTCCAGAATTATTTTACTTTTCTCCTGGGATCACCCCGTAAGTATAATATAACTTCATTCATTGCAAATGCCTACCCATGAGTAAGGTTCTGGTCCTGAAAACGTATAAAATAGTTTTCAAGTTTCCAAGAGTCAATGTTTCTTTCTTGGGAGTGAATACAAGTGTATATGTGATGGAAGAGGTGCTATCTCTCATTTACAGAGGAGTAAGATGCAGTAGCAATTAAGTGATTTGCTAAAGATCTTCATAATCAATGACGTCTATCTTCACTATTCAACGAAAAGGGCTATCTCAAAATTCTCCAAAGATCTACTTGTTGTCAAATACAATAGTCCTTTCTCCTTCCTTATTCTCCTTCATCTTTCTGTTGCCTTTGACTTGGTTAACTACCTTATGGTATTGGGTAGCTATTAATTTATAACAAACCATCCCCAAACTCAATGGCTTAAAAAAGCAATCATTTACTGTTGCTCACACATCTGTGGGGCAGCTAGTGTTTATCTAGGCTGGGGTCAGCTGGGTGGCTCTGCTTCTTTCAAAGATCTGCTAGCTGGCTGGCTGGCTGGGGAGTCATTCTTCTCTTCAGTCTAGCAGTCTAGCTGTGGCATATGTTTTTCCATGGCAACGGCAGAAAGCAAGAGAACAAGTAACATCTGAGGTCTCTAAGAGCTAGGCCCCAAATTGGTACACTGTCATTTCAGTCACATACCATCAGTTAAAGCAAGTCACATGGCCAAAGGGCAAGAAATACACTCTCATCAATGAGGTCAACACATAGCTAGTGTGTGGATGCTCAGATAAGTGAAGAGTTGGGGTCAGTAATGCAATCTATCATATCCTTCTTGAAACACTACCCCCCTTTTTAGTAAACACATTACTATCATGATTCTCTCACTTTTTATTTCCTTAACCTTTCTTCGTTCAACCTCAGAACTGTATGCAAGCTTTACATAAGGCTTAGCTTTTCTAAGTTTCCTGATTCTCTCCATGTGTGTATTCTTGCTAAGAAAGCTTATCCAGGATCAGACTCTCTAATTCCCTAATGGTCATTTATAGTTTACCATTGGGCATTTCCATATTCTCCTTTGGAATTGCCTAAGCTCACAATCTTTGGTCTCATGCTCCACTTAAATCAATGTTTCTTCCCAATACAAAGCTGTATCTCTAAAAAAGACTTGGGTCTTTAGATCCTATTTGCTATGAATGCAAAAACAAAACTCAAAGCCCTAGTGAAAACTTACCCTACATTAATAGGAATTTGACATCTCTAAAATTTAGAAGAAAATATATGTAAAAGAAAATGATGAGAACATTATTAAAAACCACTTCCTGGGGCCTCCCTGGTGGCGCAGTGGTTGAGAGTCCGCCTGCCGATGCAGGGGATACGGGTTCGTGCCCCGGTCTGGGAGGATCCCGCATGCCGCGTAGCGGCTGGGCCCGTGAGCCGCGTAGAGGCTGGGCCTGTGAGCCGTGGCCGCTGAGCTTGCGCGTCCGGCAATGGGAGGGGCCACGACAGTGAGAGGCCCACATATCGCAAAAAAAAAAAAAAAAACCACTTCCTATGAGAAATGGTTAAAGTTACTAATATATATATTTTTTAATCTAGAGATTATATAGGGCGTCACGTCCACCATGTTTAGATAATTTAGTGTGTGGTATAGGAAGACCTGAGGTTCTCTTCTTTGTAGCAGAACTATACTCAGTGGGTGGATTTGGGGGAGGAAAAGTTTTGCTTGATATAACGCAGACAAGAAGAACTGTACAGAAACAGAATGGGCTAATATCTGTATTTTTCACGTGTCACTCCTCTTTCCTGAAATGTCTTACTCTTTTTCCCACTTATCCAAAATCCTATTTACCCTTCAAGGCTTAGCCCAAGCTTTCATTCCTCTGTAAGCTCTTCCTAATTACTCAAATTTTATCAATCCCTTTCAACTCATTTTGCTAATCTCCTACCCCACCCCAACTAAATTAAGGGCTCTTTGAAAGTAGAAATATGACATACTATTCTATAACTTCAAGTATTAAACAGAGCTCTGAGTTTATAACAGCCACTCAGTAAATTCTTACTGTTTTTTTGTTTGTTTTGTTTTTGTTTTAATGAAGTATAGATGATTTACAATATTGTGTTAGTTTCAGTAGTACAGCATAGTGATACAGTTTTAGGATTTTTTGCAGATTACATTCCATTATAGGTTATTACAAGATATTGAGTATAATTCTTTGTGCTGTACAGTAAATCCTTGATGTGAATCTATTTTATGTATAGTAATTTGTATCTGTTAATCCCATATTTAATCACGTATTTTCTGATTTCCAATCTAGAATCATTAGATTTGGTTATAATTTGAATCAGATTGAAATGCTCAGCAATCTGTTCATTTCATCTGGTTTCACAAGACGATACAGCTTCTGATTGTAATGATAGCCTGAAGGAAGTAACAGATTTTGCCATCACTTGACAACCACAGAATTTAGAGATCCTTTAAGATCTTAAATTTTTAGCTCAAATAATTTGCTGGGAGAATTAGCAAAATATGCTATCATTTCTTCGTGTCTGAAAATTATTTAAAACAAAAATCAACTGGTGACTGGGAATATATGATGTGGAAGAACACACACAACACTAGAGAACTGTCACTCTAGTTTGTATTCAGGTCTACCTGTTGTCATAGTTACTGTTGTACTCCAAGCGATTTCCTTCCTGAATCACACTCTGCAAAACCTTCAATGAAAATAAGCTATTCTTCTTGCTTTATTTTTCTCTATTCATGAATTGAGGCTAAAAAACAGCAGCAATTGCACACTTGTTTGTACACTTTGAGCAAGATTTTAACCATACAAAAAGAATAAGAGGTTTAATCAAAACAAGTGCCTCTGATGAAGGCCTTACCTCATTTTTTCTGCAATATTCATTAAGTAGCTAGATACTGGGGCCACAACTATGATTATGGCCCATGAGGGAGAGACAAGTAAGGGATGCATTTCAATGAAATGCAATCAGGTCTGTGGTGGAAGCAAGAAACTAGAGACCCAAGGAAACACAAAAGAGAGACATCTTGTAAAGTTTGGGGTTTTGGTGCAGTCAGATCAAAGGGAGGTTCCATCCTGTGATTCTCAAAGCATTGTTCCTGTGAAGTTTAGCAAATGTATCTTCTGTCACTTTGGGTACAGGACACTGGTGTTACCCTGCAGGCTGGGCTCACGGAGCAGAGGAGTGAGGCAGCCAGTGCTTCACACACAAAGTCCTATCACCTGCTAATATTCATGCACAGCCTCTCCTTTCTGCTTTGGCTGCAGGAACTCCTTCACAGACATCCTCCGGGCCATCCTGCTGTCATTGGAAGTCCTTATTGAAGATCCGGAGCTCCAGATAAATGGTTTCATTTTAATTATAGACTGGAGTAATTTTTCCTTCAAACAAGCCTCCAAACTGACACCATCAATCCTCAAACTGGCCATTGAAGGGTTGCAGGTATGTTCAATGAATGTACCATACGAGATAGTATGCGATTGTGTGCTCTTTTCTTATTGCAGCCCAAGTAATGTTTGCCTTTGAGAATGGAAAAAGAAAACTTCGATAGAATCCACCTGTGAATACTCCGTATATTTACCCCAGCCTGAGTTGAGATGATTTTTTTTAAAAAAATTAGCCTCCATTTTCATTAACAACTCTAAACTACTGTTACCACGGGCACAAATTACCTACCATTGCGATTATGAATAAAGCTTGGAGATGTTTAGCCAAATCCATGTGAGAGTTCACACAAATTAAAACTAGAAAACATCTACTTTATGAGTGTGCCCTTATATTGCAGTGGCATGGAAGCTTTCCAGGGTTTCTGGAAGCATCTTTGCACATGAAAATATACCCGGTGGGTCCTCACTTCTCTGAAGGCAACGTGCTGAGGTGTTTGTACTAAAGTAAATCATTTCAGTGCAAAGGAAGCATGTGGAACTCTACTTCCTGTTTGTATGACCAGTTGTCAGGACTTTGGGGAAGGGGTTTTTGTGCTGTGTAGAGGTTAGGGTAGTCAGTTCCTGGAGTCCCTTCTACTTTTAAGGACCGGTGATTCCATGAAAAGTAGCAAACTCAGAGCTAAGCAATGCTGCTTAGCTTCCTGGTGATGCATTATCATAGTTCAGGAAGATTCAGAATCAGCATAGATAAAACTCAAGTCCATTCTTCATTTTGTAGGAAGACTGACTCCCAACAGACGGCAGTTACACGCAGCTACACAGATCACGAACTATTTGTTAATTCTCAGATCAAGCAGCCACTACTCAAGCTCTTCAAAGTACAAGACTGGGACACCCATTTCAATCACCCATCATACTCTAGTGTGATGAGTAACTGATGGGCCTGTTTCTTAAACTGTGGCTGATTCACATTTGGCTCCCAGCAAATATGCAGCACTTACAGGGCCTCTGATAAACTCATGTTTATTGAATGGAACTTATTTTGTTGAAAGGGTTTCCTATTTCAGAAGAGGAACAAGTACACACTGTTCCAAGAATGCCAGACTATCCTGGGGAGTTACACCACACAGTGCATCGGGGGCACATTTTTAAATTTGCTTTTGCATTTCTAGACTACAAAGTATCCTGCCTTGCCTTAAAAAAATCTCAATCATAGACTTGTTTGTCCTTTACTGTCAATCACTTTCTCTTAGCTCTCTTTTTCTCCAGTGTCCTCTCATCTAAGCCTCTGAACATCTGATCTTTCTCTCCTTAAAGCTTTTATCAAAGGGAGATTTAAAGTAAGCTGCAAGGTTTAGTTCATTCCCTATAATTATGCTGGCCATATTTCCAAGATTTTCTGTGGTGTAGTACAAGCTTCATATAATTTTATCTTTCTAAAAAGAGATAATTCATTACATGTGTAAGTAGCTGTGATTCAAATTCTATGTATTTATAAGATTTTTCATAAATCAGGAAGAAAAATGTACTTTTTCCAACCCTGTGTTCCAATTTTTATTTCTGGAAATGTGTGGATTATATAACATGTCCCCTGCCAACTTCTCTAGGCTAATGTGGGTCTTACTGAGTTAATGCATGTGAATGTGTTTTAAAACATAAAGCTGTACATAAGTTTGTAATATATTTTTACAAGAAATACTAGATGACCTTTTGTGGGGCAAAGCAAGTCATATCTGGGCCTTCTCTCCTCATGTACCAGGGTCCGGGTTGAACTCCACAACGTCCTATAGCTCTGGTTAAAGAATAGCCTCTACTGGGCAAAGGGGAGATGCATGGGGTCAGGGTCAGAGTGGAGAAAAAGTGCTTCCTCCCATCATCTCACAGAGCAATGGCCTGGACCTCTCTGTTGCTACAAGGTAAACTCCCTTGACTGTGGGAAAGCATCAGGCTTATCAGGCTGTCTGGATTGGGATGCAGCTTTTTCTGTGAATTCTGCCTGCCCAGACCCTGAAGACCTAAGAACTCTTAAAAAGGTGCAGACCCTCCTGCCAGGAGAAGGAAGCCAGTGATCCTAGAAGAAGCTGAGCTTGGATGCAGCTCCTCTGTCTGGGATATGGGCTCCCTGTCCTAATAAGCTTGTTGGCTTGGTTCTTGCCCTACAGTGGATGGTCAGCTCTGGCCAGCCACTGGCAACTTCTCGCTCCAGGCTATCCTCTCTCAGGCTTTGCGGGAATTCAGACACCACGGTCACCTCTCTACCAGCTCTCCCAGGGACCTTATATCACTGCAGGGATTGCTTCCATCCACAGTGTAACCATTAACCGCTTATGGCATTTCAAAAAAGTCCTAACTGATACTAGCAGAATTCATGTCTTTGTGGTCACACTGTGGTACAAGGAAGATCCCATACAGGTCTCCACTTGTCAGCCATGAAAGTTCAATGTAAATTTCATAACACCACTGGCATGGGTAAAGGCCATGGACTTTACTGGAGAAAAGGAAAGGGTCAGTGAGAGATGAGAAGTCACTGCTGTTCTTTTTTCCTCTGCACCATCAGAGAGGCCCAAAGAAGTTCGAGTGTCCTATAGACATGCAGGAGATTGCAGGGGAGGGAGACCCTATGTTCCAGTGAAGGGAACTTGCTTTCTCTGCTGTCCTGCCTTTTGTGGGGTAGATGTGAGAAAGTAACCTGGCACGGAGGTACTAATCAGACTACTTTTGTGCTAGGCCATCTGGTTTGGGGTTTCAGCTGTTCATAGGCGTTATCTAGGATTACCTGCTGATCAACTCCTAGAGAATCTGGGGCCCTGAAATATGGCAACCCCCTCAACACACACAGATAGTACAATACCTCCTGCAGGAGAAGCGGATGGAGTGTTCAGGTTGTGAGAATTTAGAATCATTTTTGTTCAGTCCTTCGCCTGCATCACAACCTAGTTTCAAAACCCTGAGTTTTAGCTCTATTACCTCTGTTCTTAGTTCTCTATAAAGAAAGTTGTTCAGTGAGACCCTCAATTACTAATTGTTCCAGGTTGGGTTCTCTGAGGAGCAGGTTCTGACACAGAGATTAACATGCAGGAGGTTCATTAGGGAATGCTCTTGGGGTCAGCACCCGCAGAAGGGAAGCTATGAAGAATGGTTGGCAGCAGGAGAAGTTAAGCTGGGATTCAATCATTTCCAATGAAAGCTTCAGGTGTTCTGAAACTGAGATGACCCTTCAGAGTTGTCCCTGACTGGAGCCAAGGGACTGGACCTTTATATTCCCACATTGTTCAGTAACTGGGTGCAGGCTGTCCTGAGAAGTGGTTGTGAGTTTGGGCAAAGCAGCTCTCTTCAGCCTGGGACTCCAGAGGGCAGTATTATCTGAGAATTTTCTCCTGGTAGCACCTCAAGCAGCTGGGAAATAAATAGTCCTAAAGGGGGCCTGGCAGCATATCAGAATATCTACCACAATAAGCAAAAGACATTTAATACCCTGTAATGTAATGTCGAGAAGCTTCCTTTATTTTGAATCTGGATGTTTACCTGCTTTTTTTCTTGGTTATATACAGTCCCAATTATCCCCAAGTGGAGTTGATACCATGTAATATAGAGGTGACGGGCACTGGGCTAGCAGCTTGGTGACAGTCTTCTGTTTGGGTCTACCAGTTGTATTTTAATGCTTTAAAAGGCAATTATAAGTTAGTAGAAGGAAGGAAATAATAAAGATTAGAGCAGAAATAAATGAAAAAGAGACCCAAAAGAATTTAAAAAAACAATGAAACTAAAGGCTGTTTTTTTTTAAAAGTTAAAGAAAATTGATAAACGCTTAACCAGACTCATAAAGAAAAACAGAGAGCGGGACCAAAAAGTAAAATTGGAAATGAAAGAGGAGAAATTACAACAGATATTACAGAAATACAAACAATCATAACTCATTCTACAAGACCAGCATTACCAAAACCAGACAAAGACACTAAAAAGAAAGAAAATCAGAGGCCAATATCCCTGATAAACATAGATGCAAAAATCCTCAACAAAAATATTGGCAAATTGAATTCAACAATACACTAAAAGGATCATACATCCTGATCAAGTGGGTGCAAGGATGGTTCAATATCCACAAATCAATCAATGTGATACACCACATTAACAAAGCAAGGGATAAAAATTATGTGATCATCTTAACAGATGCAGAAAAAGCATTTGACAAAATTCATCATTCATTCATGATAAAAACTCTCAACAAAGCTGCTATAGAGGGTACACACCTCAACATAATAAAGGGCATTTATGACAAACCCACAGCTAACATTATACTTGACAATGAAAAGTTGGAAGCTTTTTCTCTAAGATCAGAAATAAGACAGGCATGCCAACTCTCACCACTTCTATTTAACATAAGTTTTGGAAGCCCTAGCCAGAGCAATTAGACAAGGAAAAGCAATAAAAGGCATCCAAATTGGAAGGAAGTAAAACTGTCACTATTTGCAGATCACATGGTACTATATATAGAAAACCCGAAAGACTCCACCAAAAAACTATTAGAACAAATAAATAAGTTCTGTAAATTTACAGGATACAAAATTAATATACAGAAGTCTGCTGCATATCTATACACTAATAATGAGCTATTAGAAAGAGAAAGCAAGAATACAATCCCATTTACAATCAAATTTTTAAAAAATAAAATACCTAGAAATAAATTTAAGCAAGGAGGTGAAAGACCTGTATACTGAAAACTACAAAACATTAAGGAAAGAAATTGAAGAAGATGTGAATAAAAGGAAGATATTCCAGGCTCATGGATTGGAAGAATTAATATTGTTAAAATATTCATACTACCCAAAGCAATGTGCAGATTCAATGCAATCCTAATCAAAATATTTATGGCAGTTTTTACAGAACAAAAAATGACCCTAAAATTTGTATCGAATCACAAAAGGTTCTGAATAGCCAAAGCAATCTTGAGAAAGAACAAAGCTGGAAGTATCATGCTCCCTGAGTTCAAACTATACTACAAAGCTACAGTAATCAAAAGAGTATGGTACTGGCATGAAAAGAGATACAGAGATC